CCTTTGTGTATAAGCATGTGTAGGGGAAAAGCAGAGAGAGAGGGAGAGAGAGAGAATCCCAAACAGGCTCCATGCTGCCAGCACAGAGCCCAATATGGGGCGTGAACTCACAAACTGCGAGATCATGACCTGACCCGAAACCAAGGGCCAGATGCTTAACTGAGTGAACCACCAAGATGCCCCACAAACATGTGTGCGTTCTTAAGACAAAAGGAACCATGCAAATTAAAATTACTGACTGCTATCACATTAAGTTAATTCAATGGATGAAAAAGAAAAATCTGATGAACAGTATCACAGAAAGCCATAAATCAGAGATGAATATAAAGAGAAAACAAGCACAAACAACAAAGAGAAAAAAGTGGGATTCTAAGTGATATGGGAAAAAAAGACAAAAAAAGCATACTTTGGAATTTTGCATAAAGTGTGATTCCGTTTAAATATATTCAGATTTATTTAAAGCAAGTGGGTGAAATTATTACAACCATATGTTGGCTCAAAGTTATCACGTTCTTTTACATATGCTCAGACTATAACATATAAATAAGCTACAAAAATTAGGCTGAAATGAAAAAGCTGCATGTTTGCCACATGCAGTCAAAGGCCAAATTTGTACCTAAGAAAATTACTGCATCTAAAAGGCAAAGACATATTCTGTATAATCAATACAGAAAACATCTGAAAAGTATAAGTACTAAGCTATACATGACATAAAACAAAATTACACATGAGGATGAATTTATGGATCATCATAGTTCAGCCTGTTTGTATTGGCTTGTTTAGATACAATCTTCAATCTTTTCAAAGATTTTCTAATAGCATCAGGATTTGGGAAATGGTGATGACCTATAGCCCCATTAGGAAATCCTAGATGTAGTCCAGGTGAAATTCCTCTGTAGATAAACATGCACAGTTGGTGTGGGAAACATAGGCAGAAGGAAATGATAGATAAAATTAAATTTCCTTATAACCTGCAGCCCACTGACAAATACTTGAGACAGGCAGAGTAGGACATTCCTCCATGAACTCCCAACTGACTTTTTTTTATATGAAATTTATTGTCAAATTGGTTTCCATACAACACCCAGTGCTCATGCCAACAAGTGCCCTCCTCAATGCCCATCACCCACTTTCCCCTCTCTCCCACCCCCCATTAATGTTAATGCTTTGCTAGAGGGGAAAACAACTTTAGCTTCACAATAGCTAGCGCTTCAGTATTCTATAAGTCTTCCTTAACGTATGAAAATCCTTTTGGAAACCTCCCCTTGCCTTTACCTCCTCCAACTTCCAGGTATGTAATCAATCTCTCCTCACAATCCCAAGGGAGCTTTTTCTGCCCAGCGGTCCTATTCCCGTGCTTTAATAAAACCAACTCTTTTTACCGAAGACTTCTCAAGAATTCTTTCTTGGCCTTTGGCTCCAAACCCCAACAATTTTCCACATCACAATGACTTTTATTATTTTCTCTGAAGCAAAGCATAAGCAACTTCTGCAGAACATAGCCATACCTTTCTGGATGTCTTCGGCCATATATTTCTCCTTTCCATTTAGTTTGATTATCTTCTGCTCTTTGCTGTTGCATTTGATCAAAAATAGCATGATAATGTTCATACTGTCCTCTAGAAGAAAAAGGTGATGGAGCCACAGCCCCTCCACTGCCAAAAAAGGGAGCCTAGGAATTAAACAAACAGCTCTCACATGTTTATCTCATAAGACCCAAAAGATCTGTACTACCTTCAAAAGAAAAAAATTATTTCAACACTTGACTTTTAAAAAGCAATTACCTAATTTGAACATATTAATAAACATACAGCTTAAAGCAAAATGTTTTCCTACTGTGTTATAACCATTGACAATCAAAAAGTAGCATCCCTTGTTACTAAGAATAAAGCATAATTTAACAAACAAAAATATAAAAAGCCATTAAAGTTACATAAATATTGAAAAGTCTGGTCTTAATTAGTTTTGAAACAAGTTTCTAGTACACATTTTATGGTACCATTCTATTAAGTTTAAAATATGTATAGCTCATATGTAAGGTAGAGCCTACCTTTATAACACTCAAAAGTATACTTAACAAAAACATTTACATATGGCATTTAATAGATCTCAAATCCCTCAACAAACAGTAAAGACATAAACACCACTGAAACATAGTCTAGAAACATACTAGTCAAAACATTTTATCTATCCTTAATCAGTTTATAAACACGTTGGGAAACAAAGCACAAAACTAGAAAACGATGTCCTGCCTGTGGTAAATGAATGGTAGCAGGCACACTTTAAAGTAGTTAAGTATTGAAACTGACTTTCACAAAACAGAAAAAGCTTATCAGAAGTAAAAATTTCTCAAAAAAAAAAAAAAATGGCACTGGAGAAAGATACTGTTCAATCCAGCCTTGAAAGCAATACAACAGAGAGATTAAATGATTCAATATGAACCAGGGTACTAAAGTAAAAATGAGCTATGTATGTATAATATTTGAGTGTTGACAGCAGGAGGAGGAAGGAAGTATGCAAACAAATAGGATTAGAAGGCAGGCATCAGTCACAAGAGGCTGGTATCTCTAACTGCTATCAAGCCTGGGTGTTTGAGTTCATATAATAAACAACAACAGAAAGCGTTTATAAATTTTCTGACAGGTGTAGAATATGAAAACTGTTTTTAAGAAGGTGAGTCATATTGTGCATGATAAAGAGGAATGGGAGAGAGAAGAAGGTAGAGGAACTAATCAGAAGGCTTACTACACTGACACCAAGCCACAAACCTAGGAGCAAAGAAAGGCAATTAGTGAAAAAGGGGAGGGACTTGTGGATTCTCTACAGGAATAACACAGGGTAAGGGCAGATTTATAAGGCCACAACCACTGAGACATAAGAACTTAAGCATGTGGAAAACTCAGAAAACAGATGTCAGACAAGGATAAGAGTTAAAAGTAAATGTGTAATGCTGCATAAGTCATGGTGAAAAAATTTCACTACCAAGAGGAAATGCACAGGTCAACAATACTGAAAATAAAACTCAAAGGACTGAAGTTGAGTGGTAGCATTTAAAAACCCATTTTGGGGGTGCCTGGGTGGCTCAGTCAGTTGAGCGTCCGACTTCAGCTCAGGTCATGATCTGATGGCTCGTGAGTTCAAGCCCCACATCGGGCTCTGTGCTGACAGCTCGGAGCCTGGAGCCTGCTTCAGATTCTGTGTCTCCCTCTCTCTCAGCCCCTGACCCACTCGCATTCTGTCTCTCTCAAAAATAAACATTAAAAAAATATTTTTTTTAAATAAATAAAAACCTGTTTTGGGGGCGCCTGGATGGCTCGCTCAGTCAGTTGAGTGACCGACTCTTGATTTCAGCTCAGGTCATGATCCCAGGGTCATGGGATGGAGCCCCACACTGGTTAAGGTTAAGATTCTCTCTCCCTCTCACCCTTCCCCGCTCAGGCGTGAGTGTGAGTGTACACATTCTCTCGCATTGAAAAAAAAAAAAAAAGTTAAAAAAATAAAAACCTTTCTTGTGTGTGAAGTGATGAGAATAGAAGTCAGAACACTGACAAGTAAAGTAAAAGAAGAACTTCTAAGTGATAATTTCTTAAGGAAGAAATCTGGCAAAGAAATGATGCAAAGAAAACTACTGGAATCAAATAACAAAAAATTTCAGTGTACCCAATGAGATAAAATTTGTGTCAACATTTTGACACGGTAAGTTGCATACATTATAAGAAAGCATGAGTTTTTTAAAAACCAGCCTAAGATGACTACAGATAAGATGTTTGAGTAGCAAGAGATGAAAGTTGTCAGAAATAGGAAGATAACTAATTAGGCAGGAAACTCCATTAAAGCAGTCCTCACACATATCTTCAAAAGTGCATCCCAAGGCAAGAATCAGAATCAGAATTCTGATAAAAGGCAGTTGCATCTCCTATGAGATTGGCTACTCTCTGTGTTTAGTCTAGTGCTAATATCACCTTGACCTGAATTTGAGTCTTCTAATGTTTCTCTTTAGCAAAAATGAAAAGTATGCTAACATCTCTGAAGATGTTTATATTGAAAACAATGCTGAAAATACTGTACTAGAATACTGATGCAATATTGTCTTTCAAAAATCACCTTCTTCCCTAATTATAAGCATATGTTAATGAGTTTTGACAAATATATACACTTGTATAACCACTACCACAATAAAAAGCATATCTGTCACCCTAAATGATCTCTGTTCCTTTGCAGTCAATGTCCCCTCATTCCAACAACCACTGATCTGCTCTCTGTTATAGACTAGACTGCCTTTTGTATAATTTCATATAAATGAAATCCTACAATATGTACTCTTCTGTCTGGCTTCTTTAACTCAGCATAATGTTTTTGATTGATCCATGTTGTTGCGTGTATTAACAGGCTATTCATTTTTATTGCTGAGTAGTATTCCAATGTGTTTTTCCTGCAATATATTTTCAAACCACTGATATGCCTCTTACACATTATGATTACCATATGATGTAATTATGTATGTGGAACATTTCCTAATTAAAAAAAAAACACATTCATAAGAAATAAATCAGATATGGATGATATCCATATCATCCATTACTGGAAGCAGTAAGTCCCAGATTTTACAGATAGTAAATAATCAAAGACAACTGATTATACCGTGAATAATGCCTTATTATTTAGCAGTTTATAATAATAGTATTAATTTTGAAATATATCCTTTAGTTTCTGTTTTATCTTTATTTAAGGGATCTCTTTAAGTTGACTGACATAATACTGAGCCTCCAGGTCCTTATCACCTGCACAGAAATGAAACAGCCTAAGAAGTTAAATATTTCAAACCCCATGGGAAATAAGTACAGAAACTAACAGAATTTGCTTTAAGTCATGGGAAATAATTTTATTAATCCTTAATGAAAGCATCATAGAAATTTATAAAGTAAAGCAGAAACCTATTAAATACATACTATCTAATACTGTTGAAAAACTGTCTCAATCAGTTATCAAACAACATTGATAGGACTTTAGGATTAAATATTAAACATCACAGGAAAAAAGATATTTTATTGCATATCAGAAAATATATTCAAAAGGAAAAGAAAAAATAATCAAATTCTCAACACTAGTCATGGACTTGATATAAAATGCTTGACAAAATGTGAGGGCCCACACTTCAACTGTTAAGTTTTGCTTTCCAACTGGGTAAGATACAGAGTTAGTCATTTTAGAATGGGCTGAATTCGGAGTCATTCCTTATCATTCAGAAGTTCTACTTCAGAGTAAAGTAGATAGTGCAGTACAAAAATGGTAAAGTATAATTTTAAAGATAAAATTATATTACTACAACCTGTAATATATTAATACAGAATTAGAAAAACTTATTGAATTATTAATATGTAATATGAAAAATCAAGAAAACCAGGACAGAACACACATATCTACATAAAACTTTTATTCAAATCATAACCTTTGGAGAAAAGAAGTAAAAATGGTAATCAAGTCAATTTGATAACTCTATTGGGCACCTAAATAACATCGTTAACTAAAAGTTGACTGGGTAACATATGTTAAAATTATAATACTGAGGAAAAAAAGTTTATCCATTTTTCATTGCTGTGTAACAAATCACTACAAACTTAGTAGTTTCAGACAATACCCATTTATTATCTCACTGTTTCCCTGGCTCATGAGTCTGGACTTAGTTAGCTGGGTCCCCTGCTCAGGATCTCACAAGGAAGCAATCAAGGTGTCAGCCAGGACAATTCTCATCTGAAGCTCAGGATCCTCTTCCAAGTTCACTAGTTCCTGGCAGAATTCGCTTCCTTGTGGCTGTAATAGCTAAGGTCACCACTTTCTTGCTAGCTGTTAGCCAGAGGCCACTATCAACTCCTAAAGGCCACCTATACTTCCCTGCCATGTGAATGCTTTTTTTCCAGGCCAGCAGAAGCATGTCTCTCAGACTTTCTTCTCCTCTCTAGTCTTCTATAAAGGAATCTCATCAAATGTCAATGGTAATCACAGGAGTGACTATCCTATTACCGTTTACCATGTAACATAACCTAATCAATGGAGCTATAACACCACAATATTCACAGGTTCCACCCACACGTAAGGGGAGGGAATACAAGGTATCTACACTAGGCATCAGAAATTTGGAGGGCCATCTTAGAATTTGGCCTATCATAGATATGTAAAGAATGCTACAAGAGCAAAAGAGGAAATAATAGGATTCAGATAAGCACAACAAAGAAAGAAACAAGAAGTTAACCTATGAATCCTTGCTAATCACACTCCAGGCATTATTCTTGAATTTTTTCTTTATTTTTAAATGAAGAAGTCTCAGAAAAGTAACTTGCCATTTGTTATATAGTATGGATCTACCCAAAAGAAATGTTTGAATTAACATACCTAGGTAACTAGCTAGCTAGGTAATTTGTTACCTAGGTAAATGGTTGGATGTTGGACTAAGAGTGAGGAGGCAGGGAGGCATGCTATCAAGTAAAAAGAAACACAGTACAAAGACAGAAATCAGGCAGACTACACAGAATAAGAAAACTACAAAATATGGTCTTTAGTTCAGCCTCACTTGAGCACACAGTGTGTGGTAGGGAAGGGATGGAGATGAGCTTGGAAAGACTGGCAGGGTCCAGAGTAAAAAGGATCTTACGAAAACTTAATCCTTAAGGCTAGATGAAGCAACAGAAGGATTTAAGGCAGAGGTGTGACAAACTTTATTTGATTTAAAAAAGATTCTTCTGGAAAAAAAGGTATATCATAGCCTCCACACCAAACTTTTTAAGCAATTTTAACTGTGTCAGATATTAGTTATCAATACAAGTTATATATGAAGTACATGCAGGAAAACTAAGAATTCATAATAGATGAAGAATTTTAGGTATGAAGTTAATCCTTTCCCCACCAAAAAAGCCCATTATATACATTTCAAAGAGCATGGTGAAACTGGAGAAAACACTGCAATAGTGTAACCATACTGATATCAAATGCCTACCTTTACTTCACCACTTCCACCAGCACTTAGCACGTTTCTCCATCCTTGCTCCCTGGCCCTATTTATTCTCTCCAACTTTTGGGGAAAAGAAACAAACAAAACACAATTTCAAGTATTTAATATAAAGTACATGAAATACATTTACTAATACAATGGAAATCAGTGTATTCCTTTGGAAAAAAAAGTACGTGTGTGAGGAGGAGGTGGAACGTACCAAGAAAAATGGATTATTCTTACCCTTTCCTTTTCCTGTCTTTTCATCTGTTCAGCCTTCATTAAACTAATCTGTAACAATTTTAAAGACAAACTTCTTAGAGCTCTTAAAACTATTATCATCTACAACTTGGCAAGGGAAGAAAAATAAAAGCAAAAAAACTACCTGATCCTTTTGTTTCTTTTCTTTTTCAATAAATTCCAACCTTCTCTTTCTTGCTGCTTCCTTAAATAAAAAAAGAACAGTTTCATCAAAAATAATTGCTACTTTTTTCTGGTTTCATAAGGAAAGTTAGTGCACCAATAGTAGAGGTATGCCCAGAGAGATTAGGGGAAAAAAAAAAAAGAAAGAATTAAAGTTAAAGGTTTCTGTTTGAAAGAAATAAGGAGGAAAGGTTTGGAGGTTTTATAAGATTTTGTTTCTTTTCTTATAATTGTTTTTGCAAAGCTTTAAAATAAGCAGACAGATGTCTTTATACCTCAAACATTTTCCTCCTTTCTTCTCCAGGATTCACTTTCTTCACTGGAATTTGATGGGCCTGGACAAAAAGTAAAACTACAAATTAGATAAGGATTTTGAGGTACTCATTGGAAAAATTCAAATTTAAGGAAATTCAAAATAAGAAAAAGGTAGTCAATACTGCCATGACTCTGTTTCAAAATATATTATCCCTATAGTAATACAACAGTAGGGAACTTCAACACTCATTTACATCAATGGATAGATAGATCATCCAGACAGAAAATCAACAAGGAAACAGTAGCTTTGAAAATCACATTAGACCAGATGGACCTAACAGATACACATAAAACATTCCAACCAAAAACTTCAGAATACACATCCTTTTCAAGTGCACATGGAACATTCTCCAGAATGTTAGGCAACAAAACAAGTTTCAATAAATTCAAAAAGATTAAAACCATGTCATGCATCCTTTCCAACCATAATGATATGAAATTAGAAATCAATCACAAGAAAAAATCTGGAAAGAACACAAACACATGGAGGCTAAATAATAAGCTACTAAATAATGAAGGATCAACCAAGAATTTAAAGAGAAATTTAAAAATACATGGAAACAAATGAAAATGAAAACACAATCCAAAATCTTTGGGATAAAGCAAAAACTGTTCTAAAAGGGAAGTTTACAGCAATACAGGCCTACCTCAAGAAACAAGAAAAATCTCAAATAAACAACCTAACTTTATATATAAAGATGCCCTGTTGATTTTATTTTTTATTTATTTATTTATTTATTTATTTATTTATTTATTTATTTAAATGTTTATTTATTTTTGAGAGAGAAGGCTAGCAAGCAGGGGAGGGGCAGAGAGAGAGGGAGAGAGAGAATCTCAAGCAGGCTCCACATTGTCAGCACGGAGCCCAATGTGGGGATCGATCTCACAAACTGCGACATCATGACCTGAGCTGAAAGCAACAGCCAGACACTCAACTGACTGCGCCACCCAAGGCACCCCCCGTAAAGATGCCCTGTTGATTTTAATTATAAAGGAAAGAAAATGTTATTTTAAAAAATTACTTCAAAAAAAATTACTTCAATGATCATTTGCATTATCAAAATAATATTAAATTTTATTAATTTAACTTATTAAATCATGAAAAGTGTCTTTGGGTGGAGGCGCCTGGGTGGTTCAGTCATTTAAGTATCCAACTCTTGATTTTGGCTCAGGTCATGATCTCAGTTTGTGGGATCAAGCCTTATGTCAGGCTCTGTGCTGACATCAAGGAGCCTGCTTGAGATTCTCTCTCTCTCTCTCTCTCTCTCTCTCTCTCTGTCTCTCTCTCTCCCTGCTCCTCCCCCCTCCCCTGCTCACACATGTGCTCTCACTCTCAAAAATAAATAAATAAACTTTTTTTTAAAAAGTGCTTTTGGTAACAATTCCATATCAATAGCAGCTGTCTTTTAGCAAAAGCCAATGTTATGAAATTACTTGTATATACCAATCATTATTTCAGTTTTCTAAATTTTATAAAATTATCCAGAGGTAAGCACTAAAATTCTAAAAGGCAACTCAGAATAAATAAAATAAATGATTGTGAATTAATATGAAGTTAGTAAAATTAATAAAAAAGAACCAGGAAGACACAAACTTTATTTATAGTAAGATTTCAGAAGATATTTGATTTCTTCTTCAGAAAGCAACATGATATAGAATTTCTCCTTATGAAATGCAACTAATTTATTTTAATGGATACATTATTTAATATGAGCACAATAAAATAATGCTATTTAGTATATTACACTACCCAGCATATTGATAACCTGATAAAATACGAATGATTCTTTTTATAATGTGCTTTGCCAGTTTAATTCATGACCATCATAAACCAAATCCATTTTAATTTCTTCTTTTAAGTAAGCTCTATGCCCAATGTGGGGCATGAACTCACAACCCTGAGATCAAGAGTCACATGCTTACATACCATTGAATCAGCTAGGTGCCCCTAAACCAAATCCATTTTATTGATACAGTCTAAGTTAGCTTAAAGCTGCAAAACAGTGCAGTAAGTGGTACTAAATCTCACACCATAAGTAACCAAACAGTGAGTTTACTACCTGAGAAGACCCAAGTGGTACATTCCCAGAATCATCCCACCCCCTCACCGTATTATTAGGTCCTAACTCCTAACTGCCAATTTTGGCTAGTTACTTCAAGTTTCACTTAAGTTAACCATGTATCTCAGCACTTAACTCCAGAAATGGCACTAGGGTCAATGAAATGACAATAATAGTGAAATATTTAAAGAAAAGTAACTTTTGAATTTTTTCTGAAAGTAACCAAGAGTAAGAAATACAATTCACATCCAGACCCTGTAAAGATACACAGTATGTATAGTTGGTTTTATTTCCATCTATTACTAAAAAAAGGACCCATTTTTTATTTCCAAACCAGACTTTTCCATCACTAAAAGCAACCCAAAATTTTAAAATAGTCAAGGGAGGGCACTGGGGCCACTGCTATTGATGTGTAAGAAAAAAATACAATTGGAGATAATGCTCTTCATAGTATAAACACGCAGTTAATATTTCAAAGCATGTTGTGTATATAAAATTTAAACTAGTGGGAAATGTTACACAGAATTTTTGTAAAAATACATACTCCTTCCATTCCTTCCATAAGAAGGAATATTATTGGGCAATAAAGAGGAATGCAGTACTGATACATGCTACAACATGGATACATGCTACAACCTTGAAAACATTATGCTAAGTAAAAGAAGCCAGTAACAAAAGACCATGTGTTATAGGATTTCATTTACATGAAATTTCCAGAATAAGAAAATCTACAGAGACAGAAGTAGATTAGTGGTTGCCTAGGGCAATGGGGTTAAGGGGAAGAATGGGCAGCGAAAGCTAATGGGAAAAGAATTTTTTTGATGATGAAAATGTTCTAAAACTGATTGTGGTGATAGCTGCACAACTCTGATCTCACTAAAACTATTCAATTCTAAACTTTAAATGTATGGATTGTACAGTATGTGAAATAAATCTCAGTAAAGCTATTTTAAAAATATACACAACCCTAAGAGTTGCAGAATCATAATTTCTGGACATAGAGCTCTGCATTATATATTTTGAAAGGTTACACAGGTTAACTCAATCTATCAGGTCTAGCACTGGTTTCAACATCTGTGAACCACAACACCAAACAATTTAAAAATATTAACAAAGGGGACACCTGGGTGGATTAGCCGGGTAAGCATCTGACTCTTGATTTCAGTTCAGGTCATGATCTTATGGTGGTGAGATAGAGCCCTGCGTCAGGCTCTCTGCTGAGAGTGAAATCTGCTTGGGATTCACTCTCTCCCTCTCTCTCTGCCCCTCCCCCGCTCAAGGTCTCTCTCTCTCTCTCTCTCTCTCTCTCTCTCTCTTTCAAAATTAAAAAAGAAAACAACAACAAAACATTAAATGTATTAACACAAGTAACACAGATCTCACTATAAACAAACAGCTTTTAAACAGATTACCCAATAGTGAGCAGTAAGAAGAGAATGTTTAATTAACACACCTACATACTCTTAGGTAAGTTAAATGAAGACACCGATTATATTCATCTTTTAATGCTCCATTACCACATATACAAGATACTCAAATATTTGTGAAATAAAAATATCAAGCTGGGGTCCTAGGTAGCTCAGTCGGTTAAGTTTCTGACTCTGGGTTTCAGCTCAGGTCATGATCTCACAGTTTGTGAATTTGAACCCCGATTCAGGTTCTGTGCTAGCAGAGCCTGCTTGGGATTCTCTCTCTCCCTCTCTCTCTGCCCCTCCCCTGCTCTCATTCAAAATAAATAAGTAAACTTAAAAATATATATATATCAAGCTGTTTCTTTGTCACACAGGTATTTTCAACTGTATCTATACAGAAGAGAAAAATATGGTAACATAAAACATCCATATTAAGACAAATGTTTTGTTCTGTATTTCTTTTTAAAAATATGAACCAGGGGCACCTGGGTGACTCAGTCGGTTAAGCGTCCGACTTCGGCTCAGGTCATGATCTCGCGGTCCGTGAGTTCGAG